GCCGTTCTATTGAGATTCTCATTTGAAAAAAAGGAATTGAAGAGCATAAAAAAGAGGAAAAAGGGAAGGGAAGGGAAGAAAGTTGTTATGAGGAGAGGGGAAAAGTGCGAAGAGAGGAGAGAAGGGAAATAATGGATGCAGATGGTTAGAAGATGGAAAATGAAGGAGAGGAGGAGGAAATGAAACGAAAAAGAGGAGAAAAGGGAGAGAGGAGAGAAAGAGGGGATCTGAAGAGTTTAAGAATGAGGAGGAGGGAGGAGAGAGAAAAGATAATAAAATTGTCGGGGATGAGAGGCAGGAGAGCATTTTTCGTTTGTTTGCTTGTTTTTTCTTATGTTGCTACTTTCCCGAAGTGTTTCTGTTATCTCTTTTTCTTATTTTCACGCTCTTCCTAATTTTCATATCTTGCTCCTCCTGCTCCAGCTCTTATTATTATTATCATCATTATTATCATTATTATTATTATTGGTGTTATTAATATTCTTTTTCTACTCGTTAAACAAGTCAATTGTTGATGAGTAATGTCATCAGTACATGAAAATATATACAATGTAGATTAAAATCTTACTATTTGTAAATATAAAAATAGTAAGATTTTAATCTACATTTAAATGTTTGTAAATATATAAATAAAAATAAAAATTTTAATCTTATGGTATGTAATTAATAAATATAAAGATTGATGCATAATTTCATATTTGTTTCTTCGATCTAACTATATATACGGTACTTCTATTCCCTTTTCCTCCTTGCGTTGCATTATTATGATTTATTATGACGTTATATCTGCTGAAGCATTTTTCTGTCCTTAGCGTTATCTACCCCCCCCCCCTTTTCCTCTCTCTAACCAAGCTTAAATAAATAACATTACGCTGCTTCCTTCCTCACCCTTTCTTATTTCCTTTTTTCTACGCATGCTCTGTCTCTCTCTCTCTCTCTTTCTTTCTTTTTTTTTTTTTTTTTTTTTTTTTTTTTTTTTTTTTTTTGCTTCTTTTTATTCTGCTATTTACTACCACCTCTTCCTCCATCCTTTTCTCCTCTTCTCTTTTTTCTTCCGCTCCTCCACCTCCCCCTCCTTCACATCCACCGTCTCCTCCACTACCATCACATCCATCATTCGCCTCATCTTCTTTCCCCTCTTTCTCCTCTTCTTCATCTTGCAATATTTTCACATTCACTTTTTTCTTGTTCTTCCCCTCCTCCTCTTTCTCTCTTCCTTCCTCCTCCACCTTCAACACCTCTTCATCATCATCATATTCTTCTTCTTCTTTATCCGCCTTATTGTCTTCTACATTTTCCTATTTCTCCTCCTCTTCCTCTCCCTCTTCTTAGGCCTATGCTTTCACCTCTACCTCCTCCTCTTCCTACTCTTACTGGATGGCAGGAGTAGAAGAGGAATGAAGAGAGAAAAGGAGAAGAGATAGGAGAGGGGGTAGTTTGGAGAAAGAAAAGAAAGATCTGAAGAAAATAAGAATGAGAAGGAGGGAGGAGAGAGAAAAGATGATAAAATTGTCGGGGATGGGAGGCAGGAAAGGATTTTTTGTTTGTTTGCTTGTTTGTTTTTCGTACGTTGCAAGGTATTTTCCCGACGTTTTTCTGTATTTTCGTGTTTCACATTCTTCCTATTTCTCATATCTTGCTCCTTCTCTTCCGTCTTCCCTACCTCTTCTTATCACTATCGTTGTTATTGTATTTATTGTTATTATCATTTTTTCTCCTCTTCCTATTATAATCTCTTATCACTTATTGTCATTATTATTTTTCTTATTATGTCTATTCCTATTAATACTAATAGGATTATCACCATTATTATTATTATTATCATTATCATTATTACTGTTATTATTAGTAATATTATTATTATTATTATTAGTAGTAGTAGTAGTAGTATTACCACCATCATTATATTTATTACTTATACTATTAGTGTATGTTATTACTGATATCATTGCTATTATGGTTGTTGTTATCAACAATGATATAATCATCCTTATAATCATTTTTTGTTGATGTTATTATCATATTTACATTCAATAAAAAAGTAGTTGATAGGTTCAATGTAATGTCATCAGTGTATGAAAATATATTGTTGAAATCCATCAATTGAACATAAACAAAAGTAAAAGGTAAAATTTCGAATTATTTTACAAACTGCATACATCGTCGTCGCTATCTTTTTTTTTAATTCTATCTATCCCTCTTCCTGCATACAATGATGGACATATATATATATATATATATATATAATATATATATATATATATATATATATATATATATATATATATATATTGCGCTTGTCTTCTTCTTCGTTAAAATCCCATAGCGAGAGCGCCATATTCTCTTTTCCTTCCCTTCGTTGCCTTATTTTCTCATTGAACTTAGGTTATTTTTGTTCAAACACTCTAATGAACTTTCCCTCTGTTTTTAGTGTTTCTCTCATTTCACTGATTTCCTCCTCTCTTTTTGCCACTTCTACCCATTCTCTTTCTTTTTTGGCTCATTTTCTTCCACTTTTCAATAACTCCTCTTCCCCCATCCTCTTTTTAATCTCTCTTTTCTCCTCCCATCCTCATCGTCGTCGCTATTTTTTTTCGATTTATTCCTCTTCCTCCACCTCCATCACCTCTTCCTCATTCTCTTCATCCGCCTCCTCTTTCTCCTCCTTCATTTCTACTTTCACCTCTACCTTCTCCACCGAATGGAAGCAAGGATAGAATGGAAATAAGTGATGAAGATGGTTAGGAGGAGAGGGAAAGCGGAGGAGAGAAGGAAATGAAACGAAAGAGAGGAGAAAAGAAGTGGGGATATAGGAAGAGAGAATTCGAAAAAAGAGGGGAGTTACAGAGCATGGAATGAGGAGGGAAGAGAGAGAAAAGATGATGAAATTGTTGAGGATTGGAAGCAGGAGAGCATTTTTTGTTTTTTGTTTTTTGTTTTTCTTATGTTTCATATACTTTTTTGTGTCTTTCTGTTGCTGTTGTTTTCGTTTGTTTCACAGTCTTCCTATTTTCCATATCGTGTTTCTCCTCCTCCTTTCCTACTTATCATCATTGTTATTATTACTGTTATTGATATCCTCCTTCTCCTTTTATCAACTTTTTATCATTACTTTTGCCATTATTAATAGTTTTGTTATTGATATTATTAATTTCATTACTATTGTTGTGTTATTATTATTATTATCATTATCATTATTATTTTTATCATTGTTGTTATCCTAGTTATTGTTACTGCTATCATCATCATTATTATCGTTGTTACTGCTGTTATTATGATTAATTTAAAAAAAGAAAAGAAAAACTTTGGATAATTGTAGTGCAATGAAATCAGTACATGAGGAAGGTATTGTGCAAATATTTCACAATGAAATCAATTCATTGCTAAAGATGTTTAATTTTAGGCGACTAAGGAGATACAAAGAAGAATATGTAACTTTATCTAGTTTCCAAAAGGAATAGGAGAGAGGAGGCAAGGGACAGAGAAAATATAAGAAGAGGAAAGGAAGTATGAAGGAAGAGAAGGAAATGGAAAGGAGAAAGAGGCGAGAGGAGGAGAGTGAAGAGGAATAGAAAGGAGAGAAAGGAAGAAGGGGTAGTTAAGAGGATGGGGAGTACAGGGAGGGGGAAATGAAAAAATGAATGAAAGAGAGGATAATAGAGAAGGTGGGAGAAGAGGAGGGAAAAGAGTAGGATTTTAGAACTAGGGATAGGAGAAAGGAGGCAAAGGACATAGAATATCCGAGGAGAGAAGAGAAAGGAAGGAGAAGGGATAGCTAGGCGAAGAGGAAGTACGAGGAAGAATGAAAAGAGGGTTGTTATTATGAGAATTTATTAAAGTATTTAGGTTAAAGAAAAAAAAAAGTTAGAAGAGTTCTTACGTAATGTCATCAGTATATGAAAATATATATAACAAAAAATCAAGTTACACAACCCATTTTCAGTGATAAAATTTTTGAATTCACGAGTTGTAATTCTATGTTATCCAAATATTAAAATGTAATATTTGGTAATTTGCTTCTTCGGTTTAACATTGTATCGGAAAAGCTAACTATATTCCTTTTTTCTTTTGGTTCATTATGACGCGTTATTTCTGTTGAAGAAGTTTTCTGCCTTTAGTCTTGTCTTCTCCACCCATCTCTCTCTCTCACCAAACTTAAATAAATAACAATTGATTTCCTTGCTGTTCTCCTCCCCTCTCTTATTTCCTTTTCCACCCGTTTTTTTAGCTTCTCCTCTTCCTCCTTTCCATCCACCGTCTCCTCCTCCTCATCATTCGCCTTCTCTTCCTTTAGCTTTTCCTCTTCTCTTCGTCTTCCTCCTTCTCCTCCTCCTCCTCATTTTCCCCTTCCTCTTAGGCCTCTACTTTCACTTCTACCTCCTCCTCTTCTTCCTCCTACTGGGTGGAAGGAGTAGAATTGGAATGAAAAGGGAAGAGGCAAATAGATAGAAGAAAAGGTAGTTGGGAAAAATGAAAGAAAGGAGGGAAGGAAAAGAAGAATTGAAAGAAATGAAAGGGAGAGAAAGAAGGAAATCAGAGAGAGAGAGAGAGAGAGAGAGAGAGAAGAGAGAGAGAGAGAGAGAGAGAGAGAGAGAGAGAGAGAGAGAGAGAGAGAGAGAGAGAGAGAGAGAGAGAGAGAAGAGAGAGAGAGAGCTAGGAAGAAAGGTGAAAGGAGACAAGAATGAAGAGAGGAAGAGAAGTAGAGAGGAAGAAAGGAAAGGAGAACAAGGGGTAGGGTTTTAGGAATAGGAAATAGGAGAAAGGATGAAAAGGCAGAGAAGGAGGAGAAAGGGGAAGATAGGAGAGTGAAGGAGAAAGAGGTGTTGAGGAGAAGGAAAGAGCGAAGTGAGGAGAAAAGGGAAATAAGGGATGAAAAAGATAGTTAGGAGGAGAGGAAAGCGAAAGAGGAAGGGAAGAAGATGAAACGAAAGAGAGGAGAAATGGGGAAGAGGGGATATAGGAAGAGAGAATTTGAAAGGAAGAAGAAAGACGGAGAATAC